TAAAGAATTGTCACATGACCATCAAGCCACACCCACAAAATAAGCCACGCCCACAGAACCAGTAGTAAAAAAAATTAGAACCCACCCCTGATCTAGTCCATTCTCACAGGGACTGACCATCTGTGCAAGTGTCCAACAGATGGCCGTCAGAGATGGCCAACACTAATAACCATGGATGTCCTCATATGATTTCCATAAATTGGTCCATCTCTTTTTGGGAACCAACCAAACTGGTAGCCATCACCATGTCAGGTGATAGCAAATTCCAAAGTTTGCTTGCTGTATGGTTGCATCTTGTGAGAAGGTGCTACATAGGGTTATGCTGCAAGACAACAACCTGCCTCTTGTGTGGGATGGAGTCCCAGAAGAAAAGGCAGAACTTCAAGAGAGAAGGAGAAATATCATCAATGACTTGGACGAGGGGATAGATGGGGAACTCATCAAATTTGCAAATGACACCAAGCTGGCAGGAATAGCCAACACTCCAGAAGATAGGCTCAGGATACAGAAGGATCTTGACAGACTTGAACATTGGGCGCTATCTAACAAAATGAAATTCAACAGTGAAAAAAGCAAGGTTCTACATTTAGGCAGGAAAAACAAAATGCACAGGTACCGTATATGTGGAAGGGATTGCCACTCTCAAATTGGCCTTTTTAGTCACACTAGATGCTGTTTTAGGACCTCTTTCCAGAGCACGATACCATAGTCTCTTGATACAAATGTATCTTTTCTTTTTATGTACACCGAGAGCCTATGCACCAAAGACAAATTCCTTGTGTGTCCAATCACACTTGGCCAATAAAGAATCCTCTTCTCTTCTCTTCTCTTCTCTTCTCTCCTCTCCTCTCCTCTCCTCTCCTCTCCTCTCCTCTCCTCTCCTCTCCTCTCCTCTCCTCTCCTCTCCTCTCCTCTCCTCTTCCCTTCCCTTCCCTTCCCTTCCCTTCTACTCTATTCTATGATTCTTGACGAAAGTATCTTTTCTTTTATGTACATTGAGAGTGTATGCACCAAAGACAAATTCCTTGTGTGTCCAATCACACTTGGCCAATGAAGAATCCTCTTCTCTTCTCTTCTCTTCTCTTCTCTTCTCTTCTCTTCTCTTCTCTTCTCTTCTCTTCTCTTCTCTTCTCTTCTAATTCTAATTTAGATGTTTTGGTTCCAAATTGCACCTCACAGTAAAGCTTGAAATGTCTGAAGGTTTTGCAACTGGAGGATGGGATGTAATTACATTGGTGGCACCGATGATATGAAACACGGCTAAACTTCCCTGAGGTGGACTTGATATCATGCCTGGGATAGAATTTCACTTTTAACTTGCACTGTGAGCAGAATATCTGTAATCCTTCTGTTTAAGGTTCCACGTGTCTTCTGGCCACAAGTGTGATTTTATGCATTTAGAAGCCATAGAAAGGATTTTGCTGAAAGCCGGAAGACAATTATTTAGATGGTCGTAATGAAAAAGTCCACTTTTGCAGTGCTTGAGAACCTTCTGATGCCATCACTTAAATTGGTTCCCTCTTAGCCATTTGGGGACACGATGGCTCAGTGGCTAAGGCACTGAGCTTGTCGATCAAAAGGTCGGCAGTTCAGTGGTTCGAATCCCCAGTGCTGCATAATGGGGTGAGCTCCCGTGACTTGTCCCAGCTTCTGCCAACCTAGCAGTTCGAAAGCACGTAAAAAATGCAAGTAGGAAAATAGGGACCACCTTTGGTGGGAAGGTAACAGAGTTCCATGTGCCTTTGGCATTGAATCATGCCGGCCACATGACCACAGAGATGTCTTCGGACAGTGCTGGCTCTTCGGCTTTGAAATGGAGATGAACACCACCCCCTAGAGTCGGGAATGACTAGCACATATGTGCGAGGGGAACCTTTGCCTTTACCTTAGCCATTTGGGGAATTGACTTGTTACAAGTCACCCTCAGAGCTGAAGAAGCTTCTTGTAGGAGAAGCGAAACGTCTTCAAGAGAAAACCAGAAAGTCCAGTTGCCTCTTGAAAAAAGCACCTTGGGGACAACCATGACTTGGATGACTGAGAATCTCCATAGACAAATCAGCCTAAAGCTGCCTCTTTTTTATTGCCATTATTTGACTCAGCTTTCCATCCTTCCGAGGTTGGTAAAATGAGGACCCAGATTGTTGGGGGCAATATGCTGACTCTGTAAATTGCTTAGAGAGGGCTGTGAAGCACTGTGAAGCGGTATATAAGTCTAGGTGCTATTGCTAAGTGGAAAGGGAGGGAGGGAGGGAGGGAGGGAGGGAGGGAGGAAGGAAGGAAGGAAGGAAGGAAGGAAGGAGGGCCAGCCATGGATACTGCAAAATCCCCATTTCCTCCCCACTCCTGGGGGAAGGATACTGCAAAATCCCCATTCCCTCCCCACTCCTGGGGGAAGGATATTGCAAAACTCTCCATACTCACCCCACTCTGGGGCCAGCCGGAGGTGGTATATGCTGGTTCTACAAACTACTCAAAATTTCCGCTACCGGTTCTCCAGAACCTGTCAGAACCTGCTGGATTTCACCCCTGGTTCACGTATATTAAAATTGCTGAGGTCGAGAAACACTGATTTAGCCTAATGTATTTTGCCCTGGTAGATTATCATTTTCCTCGTAGGCAGAAATAATTTTGTCTCACCCTTTTTTCTCCCGAGATGTCAAATTCTAAATAGCTTTATACGGCTGTGGTATTTCTAAATTTTCCTTGTGCAGCTGCTGCTGCCTTTAACTACAGCTTGGCTGATTGTTTTACTGCAACATGATTTTTTTGTATTGATTTTGTTTGTGTTTTCCTTGTGTGTCGCCACGAGAGATTCTTTTCTTATTGCAACGGGTTTTTGCCGAAAAATTGAATTTAAAGCAATCTTACTTATAAAGACGTGATTTGCTGAAAAATATGTTTCTCTCTTTGCAAGTTGGTTCCGTGCACCCGGTGCTGTCACCGCACCCAACTTCTGAAGTGTGAGAAGTTTCGGAGTGCCAGGAGTGTACAAGGATTGTTGTTTAGAATTGCACCAAGAGGGGAAAAAAACAGGTTAAAAAAAAAGAGCTGATATTTTTGTCGAACACCTCTTTAAAGTCTCCTTCGAGTCAGGCTGGATTCTTGCTGACCTCACCAACAAGTCAGTGCAGTTTTCTTGGCAACAACATGGAAATGCTTTAGAAATTCTCAAGAATTGTTTATTTTTGTTGGCTTTCCACTCTAGCCTACAGCAACCTGACAATCTCCCATCCAAATTCTAATCAAGCCCAATCCTGCTTAGCTTCCAGACCTAAACAAGATCCACCATGTTCAAAGGTGGGTTTCAGATAATTTTACCACTGGTTCACTGCGCACCGAAAATGTGAGCACGAGTGCACCTTCCATGCATGCACCCAGTCTTCCATGCATGTGCTTTGCTCGTTCATGAGGCTTGCATGCATGCATGCTGCTTAGAAAACGGGGCTCCGAATAAATCTCCAGTATGTTGGAAATGTAATAAGAAGTACAGAACATATTACCATCTTTGGTGGACGTGTCCGGCTGCAAAAAAATTCTGAGCTAAGATTAAGAAATGGTTAGAAAAAAATAACAGAGCAACCTATGGATGGAAAACCAGAGACATTCTTATTAGGAATATTTACAGAAAACTACACCAAAGAAATAAAATATTTGATTTTACATGTTATAACAGCTGCCCGCGTATCATACGCACAAAACTGGAAAAGGGAAAACATACCAACAGAAGAAGAATTGATAAAAAAAAAATCCTAGAATGTGCTGAGATGGACAAATTAACAAAAGAGCTCAAAGAAAAAGAAGATACAGAATATTATATAATCTGGAACAAATGGCATAAGTGGCTAGAGATTAGAAATAATGGATAATAAAAATAGGGGTGAATTTGAAAATGGAAAGAACGAATATGACAATGTATAGAACGTATAAAATCAATATGATTGTTAAGAAGTATAATGTCATGAAAAGAGAACGGGACAAGAAGAAAATGAAACAGGATAAAGGGAATCCAGGGAGAATGTAAATATTAGAAGAGGACCATCACGAAATAGCTGTAAAAAGAGAGTATATATATATACTGCTCAAAAAAATAAAGGGAACACAAGCAGAAGACATCCGAGATCTGAATGAATGAAATAGCCTTATTAAATACTGTATAAATCCCTCCCCACTCCTGGGGGAAGGATATTGCAAAATCTCCATTCCCACCCCACTCCAGGGGAAAGGATACTGTAAAATCCCCATTCCCTCCCCTCTCCTGGGGGAAGGAGATTGCAAAATCCCCATTCCCACCCCATTCCAGGGGAAGGCTATTACAAAATCTCCATTCCCACCCCACTCTGGGGCCAGCCAGAGGTGGTATTTTGCCGGTTCTCGGAACTATTCAAAATTTCTGCTACCGATTCTCCGAACTACTCAAAATTTCCGCTACCGGTTCTCCAGAACCTGTCAGAACCTGCTGGATTTCACCCCTGATTTGGTTTTTCTTTTTTTGAAATGATGTTTTCACGATGCATTAAAAAAAAAAAAACACAACAACAACTGCACGGGAGAAGACGAGGAGAGAGCAAAAGAGAGCAAAATGCATCTTGGTTAAACATTTCTCTTGCAAACCGGATTTATTCTTATATCATTAGCCCCCAGCAGCGTTTTTTTCCTGCCCACCAGAAGGAAACCCTTCTCCGGCTCTGCCCTCGCGCAACCCTATCCTGGGGAGGGAGGGGTAGGAAGAAATCCTCCCGATCCCACGCAAGCAGCGCCGTCTTCCCCGGGAAGCTGCATCTGCACGGCTGGCGGGTTGGGCGGAGGGGGGGGAAGGTTCAGGATCGCGCGCAGCCAGAGCGCCCGGCTGGGTGGCGGCGGTACCCGGCGTGGACTGCCCGCCCTTGACTCCGCCTGCCCGCCGCGTGCTGCCGGCTTCTCTCCGCCCCGCGAGTGGGAGGCGGCGGCGGCGGCTGCGGGCGAAGCAGGTGGGGAACTCGCCGCTGGAGCCGCTGCCTCCTTTGCTTTCCCTTCGCCCAACCGGCCCTTCCCGACGGCGCGGGGGGCTTCCCGGGTCTCCCCGCAGGCGACCCCCGGGGAGGCGGGCAACGCGCAGCGCAGAGTCTAGCCAGGCCGGCGGACGGGCGCCTCCTTGGCGAGCCCGGGTCTCCAAGGGAAAAGGACGCGCTCCTCGGACAGCTGGATGTGCGAGGTCGGGACGCGCCCGGCGCTGGCCGCTGGCGACCGAGGGGGCGAGGAGACCCCGCCGGCCAGCGCGCTGTCGCCGCCCAGCTTCGGGGCTGGAGACAAGTGCCGGGAGATGGGGTGAGTCTTGAGCCGGAGCGCGTCGGTAGGAACAGCTGGGCTGGGCGCATCCTCGGGCGCCCGGCTTGGGGCGCAGACCCTGGAAAGGGGGGAGGGGGTGATGGTGTCTCAAGGCTGGGGTGGGGGGGGCAAGGGGTATCCCTCCCGGTTGCCCCACCCTCCTCCAGGGGTGGGGGACACAGTTCCGTCGGAGTTGGCAAGAGGCTGCTTTCCCCAACCCGGTGCCCTCTGGAGACCCTCCTCGAGTGCGCCCCTGGCCATCCTTACTTCGCTCAGACCGCGCGAATCCCGTGGCTCTCGAGCCAGCTGGAGGCTCCCCAGCGCCTCCGCTTTCCAGACGCCTTCCACTACAACTCCCATCATCCCGCCCTGCAAAAGTACACCGTCCCCGTCCCCCCCTCCGTTCGGTTCCAAGAGCGCGTTTCTTGGGTTGCCAAGCCCGATCCCGGGAGACGGGTGGGCGGGTAAGGCGGCGTCAACGGTGGTGGCCGCCCTCCAGATGTTGTACCACCAACCACCAAGGAGCCTGGTGGTGCAGTGGACTAAACTACTGTTAAAGTAGCACTTAGCTGCCAGCTGCCTGCAATTAGTGCGAGTTCAATTCTCACCAGGCTCAAGGTTGACTCAGCCTTCCATCCTTTCGAGGTAGGTAAAATGAGGACCCGGATTGTGGGGGCAATAAGCTGACTTTGTATAAAATAGAACACCGCTTAGGAAGTGGGGGTGTCAAAAGCCCTACTAAGCAGGTATATACAAAAGTATGAAGGCTATTGCTTAAAAGCATTGTAAGCCGCCCTGAGTCTCCAGAGAAGGGCGGCATATAAATCAAACTAATAAATAAATAAATAAATAAAAACCACCAACGTCGCTGGTGGTAACTCCCGGAAGAGATGCTGGGGATTGAAGGTCATCGACATCTGGAAGGGAAGAAGGCAGCAGATTTCTCTGGCTTGACAGTCCCTGGTGCTGAAATATTCTCTGGAGGCGTCCTGAGATTTGGGGGGGGGGGGGGGGGGTGCCCTGGTTCGCAACCGAGAAACCTTAGAAAAGATGGTTTATGGTGTTGCCAGCTGCCGTTCGGGGGCTCCTCAGCTCTGGCAAGGCAAGCTCTCCAAGGCTGAGGCTCTGCTGGGTGGCAGCGTGCCAACCTGACTTCAGGCTTGGTCTTTGGAGCTGCCTCCTACCCCCCTCTCGCAGATTTCAACCTTCCCAGGGGGTTAAAACAGAGCTTACTTCAATCAAGGTCTTTTTTTTTTTTTTTTTTTAATGCTTAGGGCTTGGAAAGAGCTGTGAAGAAGACAAGCAGGTGCTTTCCTTACAGCTGAAACAAGGGCGGAGAAAAGGGCTGTCATTGAGAGGGTGGGATCCCTCCCACACCCCCAGATTACAGGCGTCATCAGATCGGATTCCTTTAGTTGTACCACAGACGAGTCAGCAGCAGCCAAAGCGTTGCTCGAATCTGCTGAGTTTATGCCACGATTAAGCCCAGGTGGGCATCCTTTCAATAAGAGTGGTGGTGGTGGAAGAGGACGAGTAGCTGCCGGGTGAAATAGGGATAGCAGGGGCGTAGTCTGGAATCTCGCAGTAAAATATGCACTGATGCCTTGGTGGGAATATTGTTCTTCCTCTTTCTTCCCTGGGTATATATTATTCCCACAGTGCCTTTGTAAAATAGATTAGGCTAAGAGCCCCATTGCTGGTCTGAATTCACCCTGTGAGTTTTAAATAGAAGGAGATTTGGGGAGCCCTTACTAGCTCTCCGTCCAGGCAGGGTTGATGACTGAATCCTTCCTTTGTGACTCCCCACCCATAGCTGGCATCTTCTCTGAGGCAACGTCTTTCTGCAAATTCCAATGTAGCACCGCAGCTCTCCGTTAACAGTATTTGTTTACCAATCCTAGTGAATTCGTGGGATCAGACTGCCAGTTCCGGTTATGGCAAGCCAGGATTTTGCAAAGCTGGCTACGGGTTCTCAGAACTTGTGCGCGTCCTCATGCCTTTTAAGAAGGCCAGCTTGTTAAAGGCTTGCCGAGCCTATTTGACTTGGAGTAGTCCTTGAATGCGATCTGATTTACTTTTCCAAGTAAACAGGCATCTGAATGAACTGTGCATCGTGCTGGACACAAAATAATGGCAGACTGTCAACCTCGAGTTCGTTTATTTATTAAATTATGTGCCATCTGCTTCCCTATCCAAAAATGATTCTGGGTAGCTTACAATGGCTATAAAAGTTACAGCGATCAAAACATTAAAAGCATTAGTTCTCTTTAGATTCTCTTTAGGTTTCTGAGTCCCCAACTGGCTGTTTTTCTCCAATCTAAGCAATGCAGTTCCAAAACTTTTCATAATAGCTTGCAAAAGTAAGTTTGTGTGTGTGTGTCCATATGTATGCAAAAATAAATAAATAATGAATTTAACCAGGTTGTATCTGAATAGCAATTAGGATTGTAGGAATTATATCCCAGGTAATTATATCCGGATGGGCACTTCTCAGATGTTA